TGCTCTATTCTGATTTGATCTGATCTGTACGATTCTGATTCTTTTCTGATTTGATATACGATTCTGTTCTGATTTCTGTTCGGATTTCTGTTTGATGTGGACTGAGGATTTTGATTGGAGGTTTGATGTCTTGCTGAGCTGTTGTAGCTCATCCTTGTTTTCTGCGTGATTTTCAGGTTCTGGGAAAGGGAAGGAAGTTCATGAGTAGAGTTCAGAGTCTGATCTAGTATAGGTATTTTGTCCTTTTGATTTTTTGTACAGTCATGGCTTTCCTGTTCTGTCTTTCTTTCTGTCTGAAAGCCATGAGCTGTATTTGTACATGTTTTTTTTGAGGAAGAAGAAAAAATATAGATGATCTGTTCCGCTGCATTTGATGTTTATAGTAGCTCTGGGTGTGTCTGTTTCTGTGTGTAATGTTTGGAAGAAAGTTCTGAAACAAATTCCAAAGCCAAATCCTGGAATCAGTTCAGTCAGTCTGGAAGTTCAGACACTCACGACCCGGTGCGAGCGGGACCCGTCCCGGTCGGGTCGTGACAGTAAGACCCACAACTCAGGCCGCTTAGCTTACAGGGCTAGGTCGTAAGACCCACCGTTAGGCAACTTCTAAGGAAGCCATAAGATCTATCCAATTGAAATTCTTCGGGGAACTCCTAATTGGAGCCGTAAGCCCCAAACTAAACAAACTATCCGGGCAACTCCTTATTGGAGCGTAAGCCCCAAACTAAATAAACTATCCGGGCAACTCCTTATTGGAGCGTAAGCCCCAAACTAAATAAACTATCGGGCAACTCCTAATTAGAGCCGTAAGCCTCAACGTTTTAGGAAAATTACTAAATGAATTTGTAATGAACCTAAACCTCAAACAATCAAATTTAAACCTTTGGGCATCTTAGTCTAAATGATTAAGTTGTAAGACCCGCTTTTCAGGCTACTTCCTAAGGGAAGCCATAAGTCCTAGTCAAATAATTAAAACCTCCGGGCAGCCTCACTATAAAGTTAGGTTATAAGACCCATCCTTGGGCCACTCATAAATAGAGTAATAAGCCCCAATTCCAAATTTAAATCTCCAGGCTACTTTCTACGAAAGTTATAAGTCCCAAACTAAATCTAAATCTCTGGGTTACTTTCTTGCCTAATTGAGGTGACCAATTAGGAAGGAATTAATGGGGTTTAATAGCTGAAATTCAAATCACCCAAGGGAGGTGGATGGCGGGATATCCCCAGGGGAAAGTTTCGGCCTGGCTGGAGAAGAGGGGCGGCTGGCTAGGCTGGGCCGTTGGTTGGCTCAGCCGGTGGCAGGGAAGGGGACGGCTCCTGGGCTGACGGGTGGAGGAGATTTTGACGGGGAAGGCTGCAGGGGTGGGGAGGCGGACTAGGCTAGGCCGTTGGTTGGCTCAGCCGGTGGCAGGGAGGGGGATGGGCCTCTATGCCGGCGGGTTTGGGGGGTTTTGGATAGGGAGGGCTGCAGGGAGATGGGGAGGTGGGCAATAAGATGGATCGGATATGGAGCTTGGGGTGGTAGAGGGAGAAAACGGTAGAGGAAAACACGAACTAGGTGATAAAGAAAATAACCACGAGCCGTGGACTCTTCCAACTACTGGTGGGCCTTGCGATTTGCTCCCCTTGAGCTCTCTCCTTTCTCAAGCTCTCATGCAAGAAGAAGAAGTAGAAACAAGACAATTTTCATTCCAAATATTCATTAGTTCCAATCCAACTAGAATGACCTATATATAGGTCCCAATATAAAAGAAAACACAAAGACTAAATTTCCCTCGGGGCTACAATCATGACTCAGCTCATACTAAGGGTACAATAGGAAACTCCAAGAAATAAAAGAAGAAAATGCATAAATATCTAGAAATATAAACTCTGAATCGTGGCCGTCGATCTGCGTTGTCTCTAACGATACACATGCTTGAACCTCTGATCGATGTCCACATCATGTTAAATATAATATGGAGCAAGTAATATAACATCAAGAGTTATGTTATCAAATTGCTCGATCAATTCATCAACTATAATAGATATAATTCAATCAATTCCACATATTGCCATAGGTCCAATCTTTATTAGAAGTTCCCATTCACAATCACAAACAAATTCTATCTTTATTAAAAGCTCAAGTTAAGATATGCTCAGTCTTTCTTTCAAACTCCAATTATGACATTTCGCGGGCTTTAAAGGAGATGATATTGATTTTTTTCTTTAGGATGTTAATCATAATTGAATATTCTTCCGTATATAAAGTTATGTATAAAGCCTTATACAACATGTTTATTAAATTGTAGCTTAGTTCATCCTAACTCTTCTCTTAGGAACTATAGTGAAATAGATAATAGTAACATAATAGTGTACAAATAAATAACATTAAGCTAAAAGACTTATAAACCATATACGTGGGACCTACTCCTCCACCTGCATGTTCAGTTGGACTTCACTTGCATATTGTAGGGAAAAAAGGGTAAACCAGCTCATTATTAAGGAAACAGTGTACGTAGAAGCTTGAGCCATAAGTTAGTGTTGAAAAAAGATAGAAGAGAAAACACTATTTATTTCATATGCCAATGAGAAGGCCAAAGGCAGTTCTAACGTAACCAATCAGTCCGCATTTCTTAGGCTTCATTTGGGGTAGCTTTCTTATTACTTCTTAGAACAACTTTTAAATTTAAACATTAAATTTTTTGTATTCGAAAGCCGCTTTAAGAAGCAATAAAAAAGCTGTCTCAAACGAAACTTAAATCTGATCACAAGTAATAATCCTTAACATAACAGCAAAGAATGCTGAAAGCAACTTTACTTGTATTTTTAGATTAAACGAAAAAAATTGGACATTGCTTCAAAGAAATATGTAAAAAGGCAAGTCATGTTCTACAGCTATGCATGTCTTTCATATTGATTGAATGTTTATCATATTGACTGCGACAAACTTCACTTGCCCTTTACTTTGTATCTTAAAAATCACAGCAATTATTCCCTGGCAGAGATATTTAATCAGTAACTGTTCGAGGAGAGAACCATTAGGTAAACCATGAATTACATGTCCTACCCCCCAACAACAACAACAAAAACATCAAGCCTTTATCCCACTCCGTGGGGTCGGCTACATAAATCCTTTTTTTCTATTGTGTCCTGTTAAAAGTCAAATTCTCATTTAAATCTAATAAAGAAAGATATAGATAATATACTTTTTATGCCTCAAACTAAGCCATAGATGAAGATAATCCTACCTAAATAGTAGGACATAACATGCTTAAGCATGATGAGAATGTGTTAGTATAAAAATGCCGTTAACCAGGCTTGCAAATTGATCCCTAGTTTGAACAGAGATGGGAAGGGACTAAGGGAGGATTAATAAAATGAGAAGATGATTTTAAGCCGATATATTTTCTTTGACAAGTTCTTCAGTTAAATATCTGTAAAAGAGATATTCACCTGCAAGTCTAAGATGTTAAAGGCATTTCCAAATTCATCGTGCACCCATGGCATGTCAGGAGAATATCGGCTTTCACCGTCAACAGAAAATCTGAACTGGTAGACACCTGATGGAAGCACTTTCATAATGGTGAAATCCTTGCCTGATTTTTGCAAGACTTTCCTGCATGCAAATGCTACTTTTATTACTCATATTCCTTGAAGCATTTAGGTTAAAGAAAGAAAAGAATTCTATGGTGATAACTCCTTAGGCCTTCTCCAACCGAACTCCAAACGCATGAATGGCCTTGCTTGAGCTCCAGCCGAACAACAAAACATTCGGTATTTGATTGCGGGTGAACAGTACGGCGTTAATATTGGTGTTGCACTGTTCACCTGCCTTATGTTTTTGTCTATACCGGATTTGCCGAAGAAACATGTGAAGGAGGAAGACGGTTACCTTGGAGCAAAATGGAGTTCGATTGGAAAAGAATCATGCCATTTTTTTGTTAAACAATATTTTGGAGTGAAAAATGAGATTTTCGGTAGGAGATGCCCTTAGTCATTGCCCTATACTTTGTAATCCAGTTATCCCATGATCCTTCAACAGCAACTTCTTTGCCACCATAACTCCATGTTATCATTGCTGGAATTCCTTGTTCATAGATGATGTCATCAGATTGTGAGGTGTTTTGTATCAATGTATTGCTCATAGGGAGCAAATCACCAGGCTTTTGTAATGGAACCATTGGATTCTGCAGGTAAATTAAACTTCCATCAGGAATCCCTGCTAATGATTCTTGTAAGAATCCAACAAACACTCCTATATATAATGTAAAAGAATTTGCACAGATGATTGAAGAAAAGTTTGCACTCTTTCCTAACATATGATGATGAGAAATGAACAAATGCATATGGATGTTATTGATATTTGACAGATAACTTTGAAAAGAGTTTTAATGTGATGTTTATGATGAAGGAAATGAAGAACAGCACAAAGCGAATACACAAACATAGCACAAAAAAATAAAATGCTGTTCTTGAAAAGGCATGGCCTTTGCACTCAAGAAGCCTTGTTTCTCAAAACAAAGAGAACTAGAAAGAAAAAGTTGATACTGGAACTGCGCCACATATTACCAAGTAAGTTTTCCATCCACTGATTAAGGTTTCGTTTGGGACGGCTTTCTTTATGCTTTTTAAAGCAGCTTCCTAGTATAAAATTTTTACTTTTTATACTAAGAAACTACTTTAAGAAGCAATACAACCAAATGAAGTCTAAGTTTACTCCCATGTTGGTGGTGAAAACAAAAGCACCTGATCTTTGTCCACCTATAGGATCAATTAATGATAGCATTTGTTTTCCTTTCTTCTCTTTCATCCTTCAATCTAGAATTAAAAATTTCATTTTCTTTTCTCACTTGGAACTCCAATAAAAATGGAAAGAAAATGGATCTTTTCTTTACTTTTCACTTCCTCCAAAACCTTCCTTTTCTTCTCTCAATTCCCAATCAGCGTAAATCAAATTAAGAAATAAATTGAATAGCTTGCAGGCTAGTGAATACAAACTGTTACAGATGATGCATTAAATACAAGGTGGTTCCACCTGACCACAAGGTGGTTCCACCCATGGCGGCACCTAGCCTTGGTACGGAGCTGCTGCACCAAGCCGCGGTACAGTAAAAGAATGACGTGATGCATTTTTATTGGTCTCCGTATGAAGTTCGGTGTCCGCACATAATATTTTTTCCCTAAAGAGAAGCAAACAGAAAGAGACAAGAGTTTTTTCCACTGTGGAGTACCATATAGAAAGAAACAGTAATAACACATACATAGAAAGACAAAATTAAACAAGTAGCACAAAGCCTATTTCACTGCCAGACTACAAAATCCAATTACACGAAGAACTCCCTTCTAAGATCATAAGAAAGTGCAGGGTACCTGAGGAGTAAACAACAAAGGTGCTTGAGCTGCTCTTCCAGGGCTTCGTGGAGGGCTCTGCCCCATCAAATCCTGCCCATCATCACCATCAATTCCCTCTTCTTCTCCACCTTCCACCGCACTACTTGCATTGCCCATTATCCCAAGAAAATAAAAATAAAAAGAAAACAAAGGAACAAAAAGAAAGGACTGGAATCTCTTAAAAAGAAGCAGCAGCAATAAAACCACCTAAAAAAGATGAAGAAACTCTAGAATCGCGATTCAAAATAAAGAATTATAAAACTCAAAAAATTTCAACTTGAATGTAACCTAACATAGACTTGAAGTACTAAAAAACTGGAAAAAAAACAAAAAACAAAAACCCGAGAAAGAGAAAGAAGGTCAGGGGAAAGTGAAAAGGAGCAACACTGTCAAAAATTTCAGGTAAAAAACAAGAAATCTCCTTTCAATCGCAGCAAAAAAGAAAAACTACCACAAAACCCTAATTCACTTTGCATCAATGACGCAATAAGAACCCGACGAAAGGCCCAAATTTAATTAACAACATAAAGTGAATAAAATAATGAAAAATTGGAAAATTAGCTCCTTTACCCTCTGCAAACGACCAAAGTTGCTTCCTTTTCACCCCACCATTGTCCGACGCTCGGACTTTTGGAGCTTCGTCCTCCAATCGCCTCAGCGCTTGGAGAGATTATTCGGCTGTGTGACTGTTAAAAGCGCGGTTCGCACTCCGCACAATAATGAATAATCTCTCCCCTCCCAATTAAAAGATAAAAACATTCATTTCCGCTCAGCTTTTAAGTAAATTCGGAACAACATTATTATAATTTTTTAAATTAAATTTATTATAATTCAAATTCTGATTTTAATAAATTTATATTCAAATTGATTGACTAGAGAGAAAACTAAAAACATCAAATATGATCTAATATGAGTCCAAATAAGCTAAGATCAAGAGCTTAAATCTTGGTTAAATTTTTAGAATATTAATTAGAGAATCAAATTATCTTCAAAATTGATATGTTTATAGTCAAATCAAGCTTCTCAATGAGAAAAATCCAATGAGCAAAATATCTCTCAATTCCAACAACAACAAAATGCTTAAATGCTAAACATATGATCTATGATCAAGAAAAATAATTTAAGTCGTTTGATAAAATGCTATTAATTTCTTCATATATATATATAGTGTTAATATCAAAATATATTTTTGCTTGAGATTCAAAGGAGCTTAAAGGTTAAAAATATCCTAGAGTTTCACCCAAGCATTGCCACCTCGAACCATCACATACCACTTTGGATCACCGCATAATTGACATCGTTGGGCTTCCATCGTCTGTTGTCATCACATGATCACTGACATCAAACCACTACTCCTCCGCCCTTATGAGGCCTTCACCACCTGACTATAGTAAGCGAGCCATTGCCCACTTGTCGCCATCAAACCATCATTGCCCGACAAGTGCCATCACTATACCACCATTATCGGATTGCCACTGCCTAACCACCTTTATTAAGGCTCCCACCACCTGCAAACACTGTCAGGCTATTATACATAGCTAAAATTGTTTGAATGCATATCACCTTACAACGACTTTGCAATATTTTATATCACTCAACATACTCTTGTAATATTGTTGTCTTCAAATTAAGTAGCCGGCAAACATTTGTAATCGACACTCATATAGAATAATCATTTTCAGCTAGTTATGGCCATGATGCCCTGTAGGATGTAGCTTTTCACCTGTACAAATTTTACACATAAAAATCTAGTTTTATCTATTTGTTTATGTGTTGGACATTATACAATACTCTCTCATTCTATCACCGAAAATTTTCTAGCCCTCAATAATAAGAATTTTTTTTGGGAAAAATAAGAATATTTTCATTAAGCATATATTTATTTTTATTTAGAAGCAAATCTCATAGAAATTAAAAGATCTTAAACAAATGATTTTTTTTCTATTCCAAAAATTAATTCAGATATTGAACAAATTAAGAATGATGCAAAAATAGAACTCCAAAAAACACCACATCTTTTTTGTGGGAAGGATTCGAGTGAGTTAAACCCCCTAGTTTTATATTTTTAATGTTACAAAATAAATATATGTTATTGTCCTTTTTCTTTATTTTAGTCATTGAATTGTGCAAGTTATCATTCAAAACTAAGGTTATTGAGATCTCTCTTTGTCAATACAACCTCTAGCATGAACTCATTTCTCAGAGTTCATGAAAAGAAGCCATCCTCTTTTTGATTGATTGGTGTCAAACTGTCAATGCCCATTTAATCACAACATGGAATAGGAGAGATTTTAAAATCATATACAAGACTTAGAGAAATATGAGAGATGAATAAATATGAGTATTATTGTGTGCTGAAATATTCATAGTGATGAAGTGAGAATTTATGATCTTCACATTATATGAAAATTTACATGTGGATAGATAAGTTAAGAGTAGCTCGTGGGAGAAATGATACTTTTTACATGAAAATTTTGAGATGAGAAACAATACTTGCCTCACCCGACCAACTTCCTCACTTGATTGCTTGGTCAGGAAAAAATTAAAAGAGAGGATGTAAAAAAGTATTTGGATCATATTTGTCAGTCATTTCTATTACAGATTTTATTATATTTATTGTAAGTGACTAATCTCTTACTTTTGTGTTCAATTATTTTGATTTCTAATGATTTTTATTTCTCCTAAATTTGTCCAAAAAAAAAAAAAAACATTATCTCCTAATTTCATAATCTTTCACTTGGCTATATTATATATTTGATCATTCTGAACTATTTGATAAAATTTTATTGCATTTTAAATAAAGTACTGAATGATATCAGATATATGATACGAAAACTCCATGTGATGTCATACTGATCTACATGATTCATTAATTGGGAGTCATATAGAGCTGGAGATTGATTGGAAAATATAACGAGTCAGGGCGACTGATTCACATAATGCAAGGGAAGTTATAAGGAATATATTGTTTGGGAGTTATAAGGGGCAACTGATTAAGAGTTATAAGTGTATGAGCAATATATATTTAAGGTACACTCATTGAATATCTGAATACTGATATTGACACTGCTACGAACACTATACTGATATTGTAGAGATGTCAAAGCAGTTCTGTCGGTCGAGTTCTGGTCGAACCTAGATTGACTTAGGTTTAAACAGGATGACGCAAACTCGACCCATTTTTGCATATAGTTCATATCCAACCCAGACTTGACCCGCTCAAGTTACTAGTTGACCCGATCGACACCCGAACACAAATAACTGCACATGTGTAGGTGTTGAAAGCGGCCAGGGGTGAGCTTAGGAGTTGCAACCGCGATTTGTCGGTGGGTGATCAAGGCTGGTTGCTAGCCGTCCAGTCCGGATATGGGGTCAATTGGTCACGGGAGGGCACTGGTGAAGACCAGACTATCGAAGGCGGGACACGAAGTCGATAAGTCCGGCAAAGGCATTGGGCGTGCTTAACCTATGCTGGTTTGAACTTAAAACTTCAAAGGCTCGAGGCCAGCTGGCCAAGCATCATCGTTAGGTTTTGAAGGCATAACTGCTAAGGGATAATCAATTAGAATCCACGGGTCATCGAGGCTGAAGTCAAGTTTTCAGGTCAACCCGAACCCAACCTGATTTTTATAGGGGTCTTAAATCTTAAACCGGACCAGACCTGTTTTACAAACGAGTTGACCCCAACCCGAATTATTTTGGGTCAGATCTAGGTCGGGTTTCAAGTCATGTCAACTTTTGATATACCCTATGATATTGTAACTAGCATTAATATTGTTTAATATCATTAATATTATTTAATGTTATTGATCATGATACTAATATTATTACTAGCATTAGTATTGCTGACTGTTACTGTTAATGTGACTAATGATGTAATGGATTGAGATGTGATGAACTATATAAGAATATATTGATGCAGATAATCAGTATAAATATTGATACATATATATCATATTATTCTCTTTTATCTTGCATTGATTTTAGTTGTAAGAGTTTAGTTACTTACTGAGCTATGTGCTTACTACGTGATTTTACATGTTTTTAGGAAATAATAAAGATCTTATGATATAAGGCTCTGAACATGACAAAAATGAAATGTTGTTCATTGATAAACTATAGTTAAATAGTTAAAATGAAAGACCGATGTAATTCTTCCAATATAAATTCTGAAAAGGTTGATGTAATTCTTCAAATATAGATCCAAAAATGTAACAAGGTTGATGACCAGAAAGATGTGCATCCAGCATAGAGATAACATGCATTGTCGTTGTTAGCAATGTATACATTAGAATTGATGTCAACAGTGTGCATCAATCTTGTTGGTGGAGATAGGCGTAAGTGTTGGCGTCAAAGGTATCAGGTTTATTGGTGACGAAGAGCATTGAAGTTGATATGAATGGTAGATAGTGGTGGCAAGGGTTGAGTGCTTCTTGATTGAGCTCTAGAATCTCTCCTCCAGAATCTTACTTGTGGCCTCTTCCTAGGCTCCTTAAATGTGTAAAAGGTTGGGTCTATTTATAAAGTTTGAGAGGGATGTTCTTGTTATTTTGACTAGAAGTTAAAACTTCATTTGGCGAATCATATTGATCATCTCTATTATACAATATTATGTACATATGTTGATATTTAAATGATATCAAATTTAAATGATCTTAGGCTCGTCTGATTTTTTCTCATTGAGATACTTGTTTTGAGTATCAACATGCAAGATTTGAAGATTAATTGTTTGGTCTTTCAAATGAGTTGTGAATTTTTTAAAAAATATTTGAGTGCTTGATTTAGGTCCATTTGCACTCAGCTCAAGCCACTTTGGATATCAATAGTTTCATCTCATCGAAATATTTATTTTGACTAAAATTTGCTAAAATACAATTCTAAAAGTCCAAAAGTCAATTTTAAAAGTTTTTTTAACTTAATACTTGCATAAATATTTGTATTTGATTAGATAAATTTTTTTTTATCTTCTTTACTTAAATGCTAGCTAGGTGTTTTTTTTTTTTTTTTGAATTTTTTAATTAACATACACACATTCCAAAATAAATTGGGTCTTAAAAGCATCATTATATATATATATATATATATATAGTGTATGTCTTTTAAGTGGACGGCAATGTGGACTCCCATCTGGATAATTAATTAAGTATAATTTTCTTAATTGTAATTTCACATTTTTTCTGAAATTTGGCATATTATTTGGAGCAATAATTTTTTCAAAACTTCCCAAAATTGCTCGAAAGTGCAATTAAAGGCCTCATTGGATTTTGAAATGCAAAAAATAAGTCTGGAACATCAAAATATAATCATGATTCAAGCTCAAAAATCATCTCTGGAGGAAGTATTGGAACCCTAGTGGTCGACCAATGTCATCATCCTTCAACAGGGGGCGTGGACAACCTACTCCCACGGAATGACAAATTATTTTCTGCGGATACCGGACGACGTCCATAGATCAATCAGAATGTGTCGCGTTACTTTTTTTGCTCGGTACCGATGCTTGGTGTCGCTGTGTACCGGGTGGCCTTCGAACCGTCCGGTATTCGTAGAGAATAATTTCTCCCACGAACAGGAGCAACTATGTGTTATAGAAGATAGTGCTAAGGAGAGAAAGTGGGTGAGACTTGGACTTCGTTTGTGACAACTTTCTTATTGCTTTCTAAAATAATTTTTTAAATTCAAGAAATTTGTCTACAAAAAATTGTTTTTGAAAGCAGTAAGAAAGTTGTTCCAAACGAAGCCTAATGTGTGACTCAGATGGCTCACACTGGAGAGAAAATCTTCATTGCCATGTGCCAGGAATGATCGATCGATCATCGTCAGCTTTGAATTGATTGATTTAAAGACTTTCGAGCCAGCTTTTGCAAACGCATTCTTCATGACCGTACTGTAGGGTGAGTGAAATCAGGGCTGAGCTATTTTATGAATTCTCCTCAAAAGATTACCAGAGAAAGCTCTAACTGTTCTATGGAACAAGCAGTATATTCCTTTAATCATGTCAGAAAACTAAAAGCTCATTTTGTTGTTCTTGAAGGCTTTCATTCCACAGTAGAAGATCATCACAATCAACAGCATATCATATAAAAATCTGATCAGATGAGATAGATCCATCACTTGAGTATGTGGATACTGAATCAAGTAGTTTGAAGACCAACTCATTATGCCCTGTACTAAAAATTATTTCTAAATTCACAGTTCATGAACCAAACCAGTTAGAAAAGCCTCAAAACCTGCCTACAATCATTTCTAAGGGGCCAGATTCAGACCACTAAGGTACATCAACCCAATTTAACAATCACAAAGTGGTTAGCAGTCTTGTGATTTTTTTTTTTTTTTTGGTATCCACCTGTTGCCACCTCTGAAAGGACGCTTGGTGGCATGACTAATAATCAGCTGACCTAAAAAGGCACCCACCTCAGAAACCTCCTTACCCGCATTTGACTAGGCCACACTTAAGAGGCATTGCCGCTCTAGGGGAATCAAGCACGAGTGGGGGGGTGAGGGTGGGGGTTCCCATCCGTACTTGTCGACCAACCAAGCTAAACAATTGTGGGTGATTTTTATTTTTCATTTTGATAATTTGTACATAATCTAGTTTGATTCTCAAATTTCATATGAAATCATTTGGCTAATTTCTAATTGTCTTAATTAGTTCACTTTTTATAATTTATTTTATATAAATATACATATAAGATTTAAATTCGTGGTCTTAATAATTTAATTTTTCTTTTAAATTGCTGTGATACAAATCCTTCAGAATTTTTTTATTAGAAAACTTCTCTTTTAACCAAAAATTCTATTCTGACAATTATATGAAAAGTAGTAGAGATGAAATAATCTTTTGAAGTTCTGTCTCTCCAATGTCTGCTTTTTGGTCACCACACTTTCTGACATAACAATAATAAAATCTCATAGATGCAAAGAAAGTTTGATGAATTCTTATTATATGCAGAGAGAGCAGCAAGACTGGGTTTTTGTGGTATCTGACAACCTAGAAAAGGCAAAAGAAATTCCTCTTTTTTTATTAATTATTTTGTGCAGATGTAGAATATCGTCCGGTGATCATCACAATATGCCACGTTACCTCTTGCTTGGTACCACTGCTCGATACTACTGAGGTGATGCATTATGATTAATCTCCAGACGACGTTCTACATCCGATCTCCGCATAAAATAATCTCTCTTTCTGATCTTTACACACTGTCTCAATAAAATTTTGCAGGAAAAATGCTCTTTACTCTCTCTCTCTCTCTACTGGTGCATTGAATATCATTAAAACATGGTCTTTGTTAGATGAATGTCATGGGAATTTGCAGAGCACTGAATGTAGAATGAAGATAAAGAATTGGAAGGTCTCTCAGTCCTTGAGTGAAATATTTATTATATTGCTTAGGAAAGTGCCATGTGGTAAGCTTATAAGCCCGCACATGGCTTCCTCATTATCAAAGCAATATTGGGAGTTCAAACCATTTACAGTATGTTGTTTCTTCCCAGTGAATCAGAACCAGAGAAAAAATCACCTACAACAGTTAACCTTAATGGTAAAACATAAACAAAAATGAAAGGCTATTGCGTATTTTAAGGGGGCAATGGGAAGTGTGTGTATAGAAAGGAAGAACTTTTAAAGTTCATTAGAAAATTTATTTCGATATCCTTTAGTGTTTTTCTTTTTTTCATTTTAAATTTTGTCTGTTAAGGTTCAGATTATTTTAGCTTCTTAGGAACTTTTCTACTTAAATAAAACAACCTCTTAGATATAGCAAGCTTCCTCCTTTCCTTTGTGGATTGCAGGTAGAGATGAGGGAAAGAGAACAAGAAGAAGAAGAAGCAGTTTAGATTCTTATACTTCTTCCTTCCATTTAGCTTTTCTGCATGTTTCAGTCAATAAAGTAACCATCTTTCTTCACTACTTATTGCTTAATGGACTCCAATTCATTTCATTTCTTCAAACATCCATCAATGGTTGCTTCAATTTCTCTTCTCCTCCTGATTATTATTCTGCTAACCACTTGCAGTTGGTGCTTCTTCTCTTCAACACCCCACACTTTGTTATATTTACTTCTTTCCAGTTCTTTCCCCTTCATCTTTTCAAAACTCAAACAGAAAGTGAAGCCAAGCCAAGAATCTCCACAACAAGAGAAGAAGAGAACTGACATAAAGGTTGCAGCTTTTGAAGAAGTTGTATCAGATGAACTGATTGACAGTGATCAAAAGCTTATGCTGGGCTCAGATTGTTCAGTCTTCGAAGATTCGAACTTGTTCGGATCATCACAAAGTTCTGAAAATTCAATCTCAGACGATGAGAGTCTCATTGAGATTGCTCTACCAGATGGCCGCTACATTGATTTTGGAAAGATTAGTTCAGAGCCTGAACATGAACTCCTCCTTGACTACTTGCCCAAGTCATTGTTTCTGCAACATGGATTGATGGAACTCCTTTTAGAGATCAATGAGGAAGACAATATGATCGAAATTGACATCGCTATGGGCTCCATCAAATGCCCAAGGTTTCAGATCAAGGATTGAGCTTGCTGTGACGAGTTCTTTTGTACTTTTTAAGCAGTAAAGGTCAGTTCTTTGATTGCAAGCTTCTTTCTTCTAAGGATTTTTTAGCTCAAAATTGCTTTTTTGTGTGTGTGAATGCCATGGTTGGTTTGTAACTTTGTATCCTGACATTGCCTTCTTTGAAGAGATATGTTCATAAATCAATAAGAGTGATGCATTAGAGCTTCAAATCCTTATAATCTTTACGCTCTGGTGATAAACTGTAGAAGGTATAAGAAATCTGGGCCAGCATGATTTTGTACTCACCAGATTTATTGTGTAATGTAAATTTATCTGATCAATCATATATTATATTATTTTTTAAATAAATAAAATAATTATAAATTTATTTTGAATAAATTTAAGTGAGGATATATATCTTTATCCAATATTTCTAAGAGGAAATAAGTATGCAGAGACTAATTCTTTCTATTGTAGACCTGCTTCAGTTACTTTTCTCTCTCTTGGTAACCCATCATTTCTTTTTTTTTTTTGGAATATTATGGTCTTAGCCCTTTTCATTAATATAAGCTTGTTAAATTTAATGAATAAGAAAAAAAAAACAACAACATG